TAAAAAACAATACTTTCTTTAACAGAAGGGTGCCTCGTCATGGATAATTGAAAGCCTCGATACTCTTGTATCTTGAAGGAAAAAAAAACCAAAAAAAAGTAAAAGGAAAGGTTTGTGGGGACTATTTTGTAGAGTGGTCTGGTCGTATCACTTAATGCACATGTTGGATTTGACTTCACGGGTGGTCCTTCATAGTTCATAATTACGTATATATCCTTATTAACCTATTAAAATCACATTTATATCAAATCTTATAATTTAATGAGGTATTAATCAATTTAATACCAAAAATATATTTAAAAATCAAAATAAAAGGTGATTGTACTAAATTACCCTTTCAAAATTATTAATAGTAGAACTAAATAGACTTAATTAGCATTAACCCTAATTAAATATGTCAAAACCTCAAACACGTCAAAACTAAACCTCAAAAACGTGAAATCTTCAAGGCTTTCATCACGTTGTTTTCTTCTTCAAGCCGTGAGAACTTTTGCCTTCGTTTATTCAAATATCGTTGCTACAAACATAGTAATAAATCACGTTATTTCATCACAACAGATTAATCTTGTTCTTAATTCAATTAATTTTGGTTTTTGATTAACTTTTTGCATTCGATTAATTCGATTAATTGTTGGCTCTGCATTCAATTATGTTTGGTTTGCAATAGATAGTTTATTATCCTCCTCTTTGATGGATAATGAGGTTGATGCACCGAGATGGGACATAAGTGCTCACTCGCCCATAATTGAGTAAGTTTTTATCAACAATGAATGATACTTTATGTTTCCCTTCAATGTTATTAACTGTTTTTTTTTTTTTGCGGTCATCAGACAAGTAATATCGGAATTCAAGTTTAAATTGAAATATGAAGGCTTCTTTCGATTAGCTAGGAACTCATGTAGGCAAGTGTATTGCTTTGGATCTACAAAATGTCTCTATATAGACACATTTTCATACGACTTAAATCATCTAGTTGAAGAGGTGAAAAAACACTATCCATCACAAAGCGATATTGTTTTGTCAATAGTATTTGTTGACAAATATGCAAAAGAGCAATGCTTTATTGAACTGATAATGATAAGAGCTTCATGGTGATGCTAAACATGTATGATAAGGAGAAAGAAGTAACAATTTATGCGACAACCGAAAAATTAAGGTATAACCCTAAACCGTTAAGTTGCCAAGATAAAGTTATTGATGAATCTGATGATGAAAATGAGACAGACTCAGTTTGTCCAAGTCAAGAAAGCTATCATAGTCCTCATAGTTCCGATAACGAATATGAGCTTCTAAATTATGGGGAAACTTATGCATATAGTAAGGTGAATCCATTTATGAAAGTGAATTCTAAATTCCCAAGTGTAATTGCTTTTAGAAGAGCATTAAACCATTATGCACTAACAAATGAATTTTAGTATGTCATTGAGAAAAGTGATTTGACAAGACTTACAACATGTTGTGGAGATAAAAAGTGCAAGTGGAGAATTCATGCTTCTCTTACACAAGATGGGGTTACTTTTGAAGTAAGTATAAATTTTGAGAAATACTACATTCGTCGATATTGTTATTATGTTAACATAATTATATGTTTTTTTTCAATTTTGTAGGTAAATTTTTTTATAGAAACTCATTCTTGTACTCGAAGCAACAAGAGTGGTAACAAACATGCCACTCAAGGATGGATTGCTGATGTTGTTACCAACAAGTTGAAATCTGAAGGCGATGTCTCTCCTGCCGACCTAAAAAAGTGGATTATGCATACCTACAATGTTGAAGTACCATATATGAGAGTCTTTAGAGGAAGAGAACAAGCTTATACCGATATGTATGGCAAGTGGGATGACTCTTATGCATATATATATGATTTCAAAAAAGAACTTGAAAAAAGAAACCCAGGAAGTGTGGTGGAGATTGATTTACAGACAGTTGGTGAAAAGAAACATTTCCTACGCTTTTTTATATCATTAACAGCATGCTCTAAGGGGTTTCTTGCTGGTTGTCGTCCTTACATTGGCTTGATGCTTGTCATTTGAAAGGGAAATTTAATGGTGTGTTAGCCGCTGCCCACAAGTATCGACGGTAACAATGGTATGTTTCCAGTAGCCTATGGTGTGCTTGAGGCAGAGAATACAAAATCATGGACTTGGTTTTCTTGCGTCACTAAAAAAGCGATTGGTACACCAAATGGTCTTGTTATCTCTTCTGACATGCAAAAAGGCTTGGAATTAGCTATTACACAGGTTTATCCTAATATTGAGCATCGAGAATGCATAAGACATTTATGTAGCAACTTCAAGAAACATTTTCGAGGTGACTTTTTCATGAGCAAACTATGGGAGGCTGCAAATACCTACTCTGTTGTAGCATGATAGATTATTAAATGAAATTGCTACTAAATGTGCAGATGCAATTTCATATTTGAATGAGAACCATAAAAAGATATGGAGTAGAAGTAAGTTTGGCACACTTGTCAAGTGTGATTACATTACCAACAACATTTCAGAAACTTTTAACTCTTGGGTAGGTGACATACGTTATAAACCGGTGCTTGATCTCCTTGATGCAATTAGAGAAAAGCTTATGGAACGATTTGACAAGAAAAGGAGTAAGGTGCAAAATGGAAAGGACCACTACTTCCAAAAGCAAATAAGTATCTCAAAAACAATCACTAAGGCAAGTTAACGAACTATATATATACATAATTGTTTTTGCATTAAACATATATATTTTTCCTGATATTAGTTTGTTCTTTTTTTATTTTCTCATGTAGAACTTGGGTGAATATCAAGTTTTGTAGAAGCAGTGATAATAAAGCAGAAGTGAAGTACAAAGGATATCGTTGGGATGTTGTATTGGATGAAAAAGTGTAGTTGTCGAAAATGGCAAGTTACAGGCCTTCCGTGTGTGCATGCAGTTGCTTTTATTGCTTTCACAAGGGAGCCTAATTGGGACAAATATGTTGATACATATTTTCACAGTCGACAAGTTTAAAGAAGCATATGCTTTAGAAATTAGTCCGATGCCTGGAAAAGATCAATGGGTGAATATAGACAGTCGAAAAAAATACCCTCCTATTATAAAACGACCGCCTGGACGACCTAAAAAGAATAGAATTATACCACATGATGAGCCCAAGAAAAGACACAGATGTCCGCGTTGTGGTATGTATGGACACCATCAAAGGACTTGCAAAAATCCGCGTCTCAAGGTTTTGATGAAGCATCCTCTAGCAAGAGGAAAGAGCACAAAATATCATGAGTTTTTGTTATGATGTTCATTACATTTTAGTACTTTAATGCTTTCTGCATGGATTTTTTATTTTTATTTTAATTTTGGAGCATGTTTTTAATGAATTTATTCCACATGGATTGTTTTTGTAATGTATTTCTCCAACCAGGACCATTTATATAAACATTTTCTGCTATAGGGACTGCATCTCTGTCATCTATTTCTGTCGTAGGGACATTTTTGTAAAATATATGTCATAGGGGCTGTTTATGTATGTATTTCTCCAATGGGGGACCATTTTTTGGGGCACAAGGACCATTTTTTAATTTTTTTCTGAACGAGGACTGTATTTGTAATGTTTTTTCTAAAACATGGACCAGTGTGTATTTTTTTTTCTAAAACATGGACCAAATCAGTAATGTTTTTGTGCAAAAGACCATTTTAAAATGTATTCTGAAACAGGGACTATATCTGTAATGTTTTTCTGAAACAGGGGCCATATGTGTAATGTTTTTTCTGAAACATGGACCAAATCTGTAACGTTTTTGTGCACAAGACCATTTTAAATGTTTTTCTCTGAAACAGGGACTATATATGTAATGTTTTTCTGAAACAGGGACCATATGTGTAATGTTTTTTCTTAAATATGGACCAAATTTTTAATGTTTTTGTGCACAGGAACCATTTTGTCAATTTTTTTTTTTTTTTTTTTTTTTTTTTTTTTTTTGCCACTGGGACCATATCGGCAATGTTAACATGCTACAGGGACCAATTCTGTTTTTTTTGTGCCATAAAGAGCAATTTTGTAACTTTGTTTTTGAAACAGGGACCATTTTGTATTATAAATTACTATTTCAGTAACCATAGAACAACAACATGAATATATGAATTTGGAGGGTAAATAATGAAATGACACCAAACTTAATTTTGAATGGCTAAAATGCATTAAGTATTAACAACAACAAGAAAGTTACAATACAGAGATAACAAAAAGTTACATAAAATGAGATGAACATAATATAAGAATCTTTAAGAAAAGACCAGCAACAACACCAACACTTTAGCATCATCCTTTGAAATAAAAATCCTTTGCTTGCCTTTTATTATTTGGATTTTCAAAAGAAGCAGTCTACTTGTATTGGTGTTTCCAATATAGCACTCTACTTATGATACGGTTTCTTGATCCGGATAGAATTAGCACCCTACCTCAAAAGCATCACTTTTTTGCATCAACTAAGATTGACATGTCATGATAACAATCTACTTGTAGCTTAAAGTGCAGAACTTGCACATATAATTATAAAGTACCTGCATAGGGATGGAAGACCAGAATTATAGCTAGAGTTAACTAGGTAGCCACTTGAAACAATGTAGATTACGTATTAACTTTTAAACAACACATCCTCTTTATAGACAATAGATGGTTAAAAGGTTAAAAACTCATTTTTCCATTGTAAAGAGATCACAATATATGAATATAAAGTTTATAATTGGATGATGTAATGACAAAGTAATACCCTTTGGCTAAGTAAAGAAAGTGAAGAAAATGGAATTTATTTATCTTTTCAATTCACACCAAACAATACCAAATTTTTTTGACCGGTTCACTTTACAACAGGCAATATGGTTTGTTAATCGATTGTACCACACATATTGTAACATAACATTTGAGCAAAATATAAAGAAAAGAAAAAGATTCTATCTTTTTCTCTTACCTGTGTAAAACTGAAAGCATGTTGAAAAAATTTCTTACAACAGGAGAAATAAGGGAGGGGCAGTTTAGTCAAATGTGGGTTCCACTATGAATTCCATTCAATTCAGCAAGTGTTCTTTCTCATAATGTCTATTTCACTTTATTGTTGGTTATTGCTTATGAGGGTGTACATCTTATGAGCATTTAGAAGAGAAGAATGAATAATCACCTGTAATCCAACTAACATACAGTCTCCAACTTCAAAGATAACATTAAGACCTCAGGGTGAAAACTTTTTCCGTGTCAGGAATCGGGGATCCTAAGCTAATATATACCCTAAAACATTCAAACAATAATTTTGATATTTTGAAACCAGGAAAGACGATCCAAACCAACAAAGTAGGAAATTGGGTACAAATGCAAAACCTTAACAACACCAAATCACAGGGAGATCAGAATCCGAGTTTTGCCTTGGGATTTTATGTTTACTGCAGCAGGGGAAGCCGACGAAATTGGGGTTGAGACACATCTTCGGCTAAGGGGTGACGCTTTAACTGGTAGTAATCGGTGACAATAGGAGGGGGGAAATCGTGGGTTACAGTGATTTTGTCGTGAACAGAGGAGGTTGTGCCTAGCTCACAGCGATGAAGAGTTGTCGTCGAATTGGATTTTCAAAGTATCTTGGCATGAAGGCAACAATGGTTTACAGGTGATGGTCGTTGATAGAGGGTATATGAGAGAAGAAGGTGAGGTAAACGGTGAAAATGATGGTGTATGAATCGATTGAGTAAAGAGAAAGAGGCCTTGAATTGAATTATTAGTTACACGTTTAATTGATCAAAATTATTTTGGATTTAATTGTAAAGGATATTTTGGTAAAGTTATATATAGTTTTGAATTTTATATAATTTTTTTAATATTAAAATCCTATAATTCTATTTAAAAAATAGGGTTGGATAAATACGTAAATGTTATATTTTTTAAATGACATATACGTAATTTAATATTTTATAAGGATATTAACGTAATTCTTAAAGTTTGGAAGGATATATATGAAATTTTCCCTAATCCCTTTATATCAAAAGTTACTATTTTTGGTTTGGTTTGTTTTTTTCTATGAAAACTTACCATTTTAATTATTAGTCAATTTTAAATAACTTGTAAATTTAAATAATTCTCAAATTACATTTGACCAACAACATATATTTGTACAATTTGATTTTGGACAATAAATTTGAGATAATTTTAAAAATGATTAAAATGGATGTGTTATCAATATAAAGAATTTCAAACTTGTTATTTTCGAAACTTTTATTTTTAACCTAATTGTAATACATTATGGGATACTAATGAATTGATATGAGATTGTGTTACTAAGACCCTTTTGTAGACAAATAATGCTTATAAATTGAAGTTTTATTGTAACCCTTTTTATAAAAGTATTTGAACCAAGTTTGTAAAATAAATTGAAAATTAAGCCAAAACTGTAAAAAGATAAAAGGAAAGCTAAATGGGGCACGTAATTCGGGCTATGGGTGGGGCGGATATGAGGATTCCGAGTTTTATAACCCGCGCAAGAAAAAAAAAGACAAAATTACAAAAATGGTCTCTGTGGTTTACCAAAAGTCACAAAGTCAGTCTCTATTAATTTTTTTGATGCAAATGGTCCTTGTGGTTTGCGAAACTTGCAAAGTTGGCCCTTTTTACTAACACCGTTACTAAACGTCGTTAGGGACTAATTCTGTAAGGGCATTTTCGTCTTTTCAAGTATAGAAGGACTGAATTCGTGACATTTGAGAAACCCCAGGGACCATTTTTGAAATTTGTTTGAAAATATAAATTATTTTTGCTGAAGGTAGGGGGGAAGGCTCGAACTCACGACCTCCACCCCCTTTTATTTGACCAAAACCTTAACAAGTTGAGCCGATTGCTCAGTTGGTTATAACACCCTAAAACTAATTTATATAATAACAAAAACGTTAATATTTAAATAAAAAATAAATTACAAAAAACACTTTTTTTACATAACTTTTTTTTAAATAAAACAAAAAGTATTTTAATCGTATTATAAAAAAATTGTTTTTTACAAATAATTTGTATGTATTTTTATGT